TATGTTTATGTAAAATGGTTGATGTTTGTTCTACGCTTATTAACCGGGTTGGAAATGACAATAAAGTTTCAAAGTAACAGGTTTATTAGAGATCGCTACTGCCCCGTCTCTAAAGTTAGTAGTTTTTATTCGAGCATTAATCGACTCCATCTGGAGCCGCGGAACACTTGACGTGTTGCCGAGGCTGTACCTTGAAGCAGGAGTAAGAACAGGATGGTTTTTAGTCAGTACGAGTCTGACACTCCTTCTGTCCTGTCACCTCACTCATGTGAGGTGGGATGGAGGTCATTGGATGATTTTCCCTCTTAAGAAAAAGGCTACGAAAAATGTATTCTAATTTACTGCAACCACACAGCTTTGCAGTGAGTTTCAGATCAGCCGGTCTGAAGCAATCTGCACTCCACTGATACTCACACTGAACTCCAGTCGATAGTGTTTTGACTACAGATATATTTCAGACCCTAGTTCTAGAATAGCAGTCACGTAATGACAAGTACAAGCTTACATTTCAAAAAGGTTAAATAGGACTCTGTTGTGTCGTTGTGAAAGTACAAAGTCATGTGCAGACAAGAATGGGTATTTCGATAACCGGTGGTGTATTATGACGTCTTAAAGCTAGAGTGGTTCCGTTAAGGGGACGAGATCTCGCTAAATGCTTTGACTGCACGGTTGGTGCGGTGGCTGGGCAACCGGCTGCCATGCAACGTGTCGCGGGTTCGATTTCCGCACGGAAGAACACTTTGTGTGATCCACAAATTGTTGTTTCGGGTCTGGATGTCATTGTGTATGTGAACTTGTATGTTTGTAAACGCACCCACGACTAAGAAGAAAAACCTAATGTGGGGCAACGTTTATTTAAAAAAAAAGACTTGTGTTTTCCTCGATGGAACCATTTTGACTTAAGGGCGTCATAATAACCCCGCTGATATAGATCGAAAGAGAATCAACCAGCTAAATTAGGTAATCAATTTATTGCATCCTGTTAAAGAACTAGTATAAGACTATATTCTTGATAGCCATTTATTTTTAATGGTGATTCGATTTCTTTACGGAACACAGCTCTAACCCAACCCTTCCAATCATCTCTAGAAATAGATATACAACAGATATTACCTCTTTCAACTTCGGCATTGATATTTATAGTACGTAGGCGCAGCTCTTCGTTTTCGTACAGCATGCCCCGCGAGGATTTGCGGTCCAACCTGAGGGCAAATGTGAATTTAGTTTTTTGATCATAACTTGCGATACTAGTTAAATTTCAGCAAATTAGTAATTTACAGTGATTAACGAGACCTTACGATCAACAGAGGCGCCACCTAGTAAGTGAAAAAAGATAGTCAAAGAGTTAGAAATCGCTCTAACTATATTTAAAAATTTGAACAAAAAAATAAACGATTGAATTAGGTACTCATAGTTCTGTGTAGTATTTTAATATCAAGATATAATATGATCATGTTTGTCTGCTATGCTTTTATGGAAATGATATGAAATGACTACATGATCTGTACTCTAAGGTATAATTTAAGATGCCCATGCAATTACGGAAAACGAGGGTTTTAAAGTCAAAGAAAAGTTTTAATGCAAGCGAATGATGCGATATGCGACAGTGAAATAAGAAAATAGGTGCCGAGGTAATACTGCGAGTTACGTGAACGCGATCGAAACCGCTCGTTCGCCCTCTGATTGGTGGGTTACATGAAGCAGGCCAATCAGAGCGACGAACGTCATAAACGTATGAATCGCGTTAACGTAAAACAAATTCGTACTCTGTACAAGATGAAAGTTCTGGAACGAAGACCGATAGATACTTAAACGTCTTTTGCTGAACATCAGATAATGTCGAGATTGGTTATTGTAAAGGTATGGTAAAAGTCATCGATTATCAACTAATCGAAAAAAAACGGTAAGGGTTTATATATTTGGCATTGTTGAAGACCTTATAAATATTATTATCATGGAAAATGTGGAACTCTCAAGACAATGTCCAAATAACATAGGTACCTATCAATATAATAAATGTGGAGCAACAAATTGGCAAGATCTGGTTAGAGGACATATGTAGTTGAAGAGGATGATCAATAGGAGCTGACTAGCGGGTGAATCCACACGGTAGTAGCTAGTACTATAAATACCAATGTTTATATGTTTATTTGTTTGTTACTCCTTCACGTCAAAACGGCTGAAGAGATCGGGATGAAATTTGTGACAGGGGTAGATTATGGTCTGGATTAACACATAGACTACTTAATATCCCCACGGGGAGGGTGTAGCCGCTGGCAAAAGCTAGTTTTATTTTTATATAGCATAAGCCGGTAAACGAGCAGACGGATCACCTGATGGTAAGCAATCGGCGCCGCCCATGGACTCTCGAAACACCAAGGCGTTACAAGTGCATTACCGGCCTTTTGGGAATTGGGAATTTGAGGATTGTGGGGGATTCGAAGATTCGAGAGACGGGGACTAGGGAGGGGGGTAATTGGGCTTCCGCTAACCTCACTCATACGACGAAACACAACGCAAGCGTTGTTTCACGTCGGTTTTCTGTGAGGCCGTGGTATCACTCCGGTCCAGCCGGCCCATTCGTGTCGAAGCATCACCCACACTTACTGCACTCCCACACTTAGTAATAATACAAAATGACTATTTTTGTTTATTATGACAATCATTATTTGGCTAACAGTTGACGTCAATCCGATCTTAGAGTTGCTGTCAGTTGTGACGAAGCATTTCTGTGACCTATGATTACGCATTTAAGTGATAATTTGGAACATCACTGGTTGATAAAACTGTTAAAAAGTATTGTATAATGCTCTTCGCTCTAATAGAAAAAAAATATGACAACTTTTTTCGACATTTATCTATACATATAAAAATGAAACCCGTTTTTCCGCTGTCACGCCATAACTTGAGAACGGCTAGACCGATTTGGCAGATTTTTTTGTTGTGTTTATTATTGTCAGGAGAAGATGTTCTTATAGTAGAAAAAGATCCTGAAAATCCTACGGGAACGGGAGAAAACGGAATTGCGCGGACGAAGTCGCGGGCAGAAGCTAATGTATGATAATTATCGTGAGACATATGCCGTAATATTGAAATGATTCTCAATTTTAAATTGTACTTAAATATCGTGCCATCTTTATTATTTTACGAAGACATTGTTTTGACAGAACTGTACTTAAGCGCAATATGGAAATTGAGTGGCGTTTGAGTACTTGGACAATAGTAAATTAATTTTTGAGAACTATTAGAAAAAAAAAAGAGAAAAACACCTACTTTCAAGTCACGAGCAAGACTCATACCAAAGAGTATAATAAGTATGGCTCATATTCATGAACAGCGCAGTAACGCGCGACGTCGCGTGGTCAAAACTACGCTATGTTGGTTGTTAGAAAAGAGGCACCGACTCCAAGCACTATCCACAAGCAGTACAGGCGAGGCGATCGAGCCCCACAGGGATACCATCATTTAATTTTAGTGTATTTCAGAATGCCAAGCATGAATAACTATTGCATTCGTAACTCAATGACGAAGATGACGCGTTTGAATTCTGCTCTCTAATTGGTTGATTTACTGGAGTGAGAGAGAGAGAGAGAGAGAGAGGGGCTTTTTTACGTGCTTGGCTCTCTGTACGGGTACGGTTGTAAGTTAAGATTTTTAATCTCACGCAGAAATTACCCAGTTAAATAAACAAGAGTCTTAGCGAGTGAGTTACAGCAAAAGACTATACATATACCTAAACAATCAGAGGTTTATCAATGTCAGAGTAAGAAGTATTTCATAAACATGTCCAGCAAAAGACCAAAATAAAATTGAGAAGAACAAAATCGAGTGCGGTCCAGCCTTGAGGGTGCCCACAGACATTCCTTACGCCATTTACAGTGCACATAAAACAGACACCTTGTTACCTATCATCCTCATCTTGTAACTCTTTGGGTCTGGCCATGGACCTCTTCAGTCTCCACAAGACGCGGTCTTCTGCCAACTGAAGCCACAATGTACCAGCTACCCTTCTGAGTTCCATGCCTGGATACGCCCCACACACCTTTTGTCTGTCTTAAGTCCATGAGAGTTAGCCACTGGAATTTCGCTTTACCCTGTATTCATACGGTCCGGGGATTTGCAAAACGAGACTTTTTGTCAGCAAGAGTTTGCTTATCTCTTTCTTTTCCCCAGACATAGGATAGGAACTGCATATGGATTTTCCATTTGATATAAAATAGATAGAGTTAAATTCTTTATAATCTGGCTGCTCAACTGCCTAACCTGGATAGCCAATTTAGAGCTATATACTGGCTATAGTTTTCCAATTTTTCGGGTGTAATTGAATTTAATGCTTTGATTTTGGTCTTAGCTGACCGAGTTGACCACTCGGTTAGACCATCAGAACTTCTCTGAAGTTTCCTTAATGTGCACTATAAACGGGTGACGTCATGACATGGATGGCTGAAGGTTAAGAAGCTACTACTATGGAGACATGCGTTGTCAATGATAATGAGGGCGTTCGAGAAAGTCATCTAGGGACATTTTTGACTGAAAAAAAAACTATCTTATTTAATTTAATTCTACATTTGTTTGTCCATCATGACTTCCCCTTAGCAATTGGGTGTTGTGACGTGTATCTGTCTCACTCACTTTCGGTTCGGTTTGACGTTGACATCCTTTCTGCGCGTGCGCAGCATGCTCGCTCCCGTCATGCCCGACATCTTGCCGCTTGACAGCCATGCGACGATTAACACCTGGAACAATTGAGAAAAAAATATTATGAATCGATTATTTAACCCCATTTTTATAATCGTAAACGGGAGTGGTTTAGGCATTAAGGACTCCAAAGATAATATTAATACCTACACTTAATTAAATTTTTTGTTGCGCACTTTTAACAGTAATTTTCAATGTTCTCATTTTTTTTTATTAAATCCTAATCTCCTTTATTTTATACTATCTTCAGCCAGCGGCATTATCCGCGTTCCCTTAGAATAAAAATAGATTATATGATATTTCAAACCATAATCTTTTTTTTTTATGGCCTAAGCCGGTAAACGAGCAGACGGATTACCTGATGGTAAGCAATCGGCGTCGCCCATGGACACCCGGAACACTAGAGGCGTTACAAGTGCGTTACCGGTCTTTTGGGGATTAGGAGTTTGAGGATCATTGGGGAGATTGGGAAAGAGGAGGGTAATTGGGCCTCCGGTAACCTCACTCACACGACGAAACACAACGCAAGCGTTGCTTCAGGTCGGTTTTCTGTGAGGCCGTGGTATCACTCCGGTCGAGCCGGCCCATTCGTGCCGAAGCATGGCTCTCTAACATTAGATAAACCTATATTTGCGTTTGGTACAGTAAGTATGTCTAGGATTGAGCCGCACAATTAAGTTTGTTTTTTCGCTTATATACTTTTTCGAGATAAAACCAAGTCATAGTATAAAGAACGTGTTCTTTATACTATGACCAAGTGTTGTGCCCAGGATATTAAAGTACCTAGGTAGCTATAATCATTCCAAGTTTCATCGTAACCGGACCAGTAGTTTTTGCGAGATCACATAAACACAGAAAAATTTTCTTTTTTCGCATTTTTGAGTTCGGTGTCTGTCTAGTAACACCCTCTACTAATTATTATTTTTAATGTTTTCAATGTATACAATTTATACTTCTACATTTTTATTATAGATATGTGTAGATATAGATATTAAATTTTCCGAAACGTGGCTATTTGCCATCACCTAGAATGAACCTAAAGAACTAAAGAGCTACTTATCACACTACAAGGTCACACCTTCATAACACAAATATTGCATGATGATTTCAATTATTGCGCAAATCTCATAAACAAGTACTAGAAGTTACATAAAAAATATATCTATTTAAACATGTATATCACTATCTATTTACTAATTCGTTATTTGATAAAAAAATGCAATTAACGGTTTTAACCTTTTGTTAGGAATGACAATCGTTATTTTAAAATGGAAAAACTAATTCGTGTATCGTTATAATATGACGGAAAATGATTGATCATTCTTTAAGTACTTATGTACTAGAATAGAATGTTTTTTTTAATCTATTTCATATGATTAGGTAATAATTAGCCCTGTGGTGACATTTTTCACCTGCCTGCCTCGTTGGCTCAATGGTCGCAAGTGCGACTGCCGGGCAGGGGATCTCGGGCGCGCTTCCCGAGAGGGTCAAAGTATTACTGCTGTTTTACCACGCCACGGTTGCCACGGAGTCTGGAATTGTGCTCGGTATGTGGCAATAGGCTTACCCCTTGTTACATGAGACTCATAACATAAATAGTGAAAAGTGGGTTGGTGTAGAGTGCCGTAATGTGCACCTTTGCAGATCCCTTCGGGAACAAAAGATGATGTTATGTTATGTGACATTTTTCACCTCCCCTTCTCTTCCCGGCGGGTGGCATCTCAGTTTTTTTTAGATGGGGAAAAATACATAAATAAATTACTGACTAGAAACCACTCCGTTCCTAATTCTGTTATTTCTGTTATTTGAGCCCCGGCAACCTGTTAAGTCGACCCTTAAGAGCCGACTTAGAGACTAGCGATTTTACTATTTCAGGATTTATTATACCGTTGGCAGTCAGACATCTAGTGATTACATATTTGGAGACTGAGGATGAATGAAACCAAAAGTACCTATATATATTTTATTGATAGAGGTATTTCTGCCTCCGGTAATCTCACTTACACGAATAAGAAACACAACGCAATGTTAACGTTGTTTAACGTCGGTTTTCTTCACAGAAAACCGGCCGCACGGCCGTGGCATCACTCCGGTCGAGCCGGCCCATTCGCGTGGCTCTCCCACACTTTCGCACACACATAAAGTACATATAACTCGGAAAAAGTCACATTGGTACTTGCCGTTGGTACCGTTTCGAACCCGTACCCTCATGTATGAGAAGCGGGCGTCTTAAACCTCCGGGCCACCACGACCGTTTTGAAATCTATAGTGAATGTTATTCTTGTGGATAATTGCTAAAATATTTTTGAAGGCGCTTAAAGAGCAGGGACTTTGTCTTCACATGGCAAATACTTAGACATGGCTTAATAAAATGAATGTTTGAAAACGGGTTAAGTCTAGTCTATTTCTATACTAATATTATAAAGAGGAGAGGAAAGATTGGTACCTATTTTTGAATGTTTGTATGTTTGTAATGAATAGGTTCAAAAAGTACTGGGCCGATTTAAAAAATTCTTTCACCAATAGAATGCTACATTCCTCCAATTCGACATAGGCTACATTTCATTTTGAAAAAAATTAGGGATCCTTGGTAAAATTTGAACAATGAGTCTTAAAATGTCTTTCGTCGAATGCGTTGCCGAAACTATTAGCGATAGAACAAAATAATGTACAAGGTACAACAATATTGAAGAACATCATAATGTCTACAAAAAACTCCGCGGTAGCATATGCCCAACTATTGTAGTTATGTGACTACAACAATCCAAACTTCCAAAAATAAATAATTGTCTATCCCGTGCGAAGCCGGGACGGGCTGCTAGTAGGAAATACAATTCTACAGACTACAGGAGTAAATGATAAAAGTGATAAAAAGAGATTTCAGTCAGATTTGGTACGTTTATATTAAAAGTTTCGGGGGACATACTAGATTAATTATTATGTTTTCGGCTTACTCACGTAACTATTTGACGAGGAACAGTAGAAGCACAACAGTTACCACTTCGCGTGTCGCGGAATGCTGCTCATGAATATGAGCCCCTAGCCTGTCTTGAAACTAGTCAAGTTCCTTGTCAAAAAAAAAAAAAAAGTTACGTGAGAAAGTCGGAAACATTATTAACATTAGTTATATTTAAAATTAAAACCGTACTAAAATTTACCCAATCAATATCTAATTATTTTAAACTAGTTATAACAGCAACTTTGTCTACGTTTTTCTTAAATAAAAGTAGTCTATGTCACTCCTTAGTACATCCGCTACCTGCCAATAAGAATCCCGTCAAAATAGGTTCAACTATTTCAGAGATTAGCGAGTACAAATAAACAGACAAAAATTGTAAAGAGTATTTATACTACTACGTACCTATAGTAAAATGCGGTTATTTCAATATAACAAACCGACACTCCAATTTTACTTATCTGTATAGATGAGACGAACCAATGAATTTAAAACTTAAAATATGCTTGAACAAGAATTATGCGTTCTTAGTACACTTAGCTACAAAAACACGACTACACACTATGAAAATTAACTTTAAAAACAATACAAAAAGACTAGTCTACAACCAAGCATTACTTCACAGGATAATCCGACTTACATGCTTTGGAATAAGTACTGAAATCGCCTTACCTCATTTAGTAATAAGATTAGAGTCACCTAACGCGTAAGAGACAGTGGGTGTACTGAACCCGAGACGAGAATCAGCCACTTCACTTCGCACATGCGCAGTAGAAATGCTGACGAAGACTTTCAAGGGACAGTCAGCGTTGAAAGTTAAGATTTTATTTATTTTTTTATTTATTTATTTATTTAAGCTTCATGCACAATGTGTACATTAGGTGGACTTAATGCCGCAGGCATTTTCTCCCAGTCTGACCTTTGGATGATGCAGAGAAGTTAATGGTGTGAGCAAGAAGCAAGCAACGATTTAATTGAGCAATCAAAATAGATACACTTACATATTTCAGAGATAAACACAAATAAATATAATTATAATATATATACCTACACACGAGTACAAGACAATAACCATACATGCATTCATACATATACATACATACATACATACATACATACATATAGACTGAAAGTAATTAGCGTGATGATTCAGCCAACCTCTCCAAGAGAAGCTCACGTACTTTCTGCTTAAATGATAAACGAGTCGACGCCATCCTGACATCCAGGGGGAGATTTGAAATTGTCCTTAGGAAAATTTTATTGTTTTTCTGTTTATTGGAAGTAATATTCCAAACATGTGGTAAGTAAATAAAATCCTACATTAAATGTTTTCCATGTTTGAGTTCAAACTGTTAAAATGAGTTTTTTTTTTAAAGGGGAAATCATCGAATTACTGCTCCCGCCCGGGTGAGGCGGGAGGGAGAGTCAGACTCTTACTGACTAAAAACCACCCCGTTCTTTCTCCTGCACGTCGAGCCGGAGCCCCGGTAACCCGTTTAGTTCTCCGCGACTACTTTTAAGTCTATGTTCTCTTGTTGATTGGGCTTAGTGGTATAAGTTTTTTATTTATTTATTTTTAAACAGTCACAATGGGAGAATGCCAATTACAGTAACTAACATTCCGGCTCGACGGGCAGGAGTAGGAACGGGGTGGTTTTTAGTCGGTAAGAGTCTGACACTCCCTCCTCCTCACCCAGGCGGGAGTAGTCATTTGATAAACTAAGAATCGCAGCCGACCATAATTGTTTTGTTTAATTTCTGTCAATCATGGTGTCACAGTTTTTATGTTGACTGTACTGAAAAATATGAAGGTACCCAACTACTTATAATAAAAAAGTTGAAAGTAAGTAGATACTTAAGATAAAAATTAGGATAATGGTTAAGTATATAATTCGACATTAATGTGTTAATCACGAACGAGGTTTTATAAGCTTTTCCTTAAATCCCCAAGCGGTCACCGGTGACCGCTCTCCACCACTAACTATATTTAGACCTTATTTCCGATGTCTATAGACTACTTTTGTATTAAACTAACTTATTAAACTGACTGCCTCGTTGGCCGAGTCGTCGCGGTCTCGGGTTCGATTCCCGGGTGGGGCAAAGTATTACTGGGTTTTTTTTAAATATCTCAGTAGCAACACGGAGTCTGGAATTGTGCCCGGTATATGGCAATAGGCTCACCCCCCTATTACATGGGACTCATAACATAAATAGTGAAAAGTGGGTGTTACATTGTACAGTGGCATAATGTGCACCTCTGCCTACCTCTTCGGGGATAAAAGGCGTGATGTTATGTTATGGTGGCCAACAGCTAGTCACCAATACAGTGCATACTGCGTGCTTTTTTACCTATAGCTAAGAAGAAGAAGTTATTTCCTTCTGCGAAGTCATGCTAGTAGATATAGTACTAAGTTTCCAAGGCTCCGGTTCCGGGTTCAGAGTAGGAGTTAGGACGAGGTGATCGTTTAGTCAGTAAGAGTCTGACACTCCCGCTCGCCTTCCCCAGGGCGAGAGGATTCGACTTTGAGAAATCGGTTTCCACACGGAAACAAAGTCAAAATTCGAAACGGATTCGTCGGCGGTATTTCCGAACCGATACGACCTTCGCTCCTTTGCCTCCTATTCCATAAAAAACACGGAGCAACTCTTTATGTGATCCACAAATTGTTATTACGGGTCTGGATGTCATACTGTCATGTGTATGTGAACTTGTATACCTACGTGTAAACATACACACGACACAGGAAAAAATCCGAGTGTGCGACGCGTAAAAAAAGAAAAAGACCGTTCTTCCAAATATGCAGTCGAATTGAGAACCGCCTCTTTCTTTTTTGAAGTAGGTCGAAAAATAAAGTAAAGGCAAAACTGATGACTATCCTCCTCAAAACAAAAAAAATACGACGATTTGTGGGAAAATGGGAATTTGTTTAAGTATCTACATTATGTTAACAATAGTAGTACAACAACACGAATAGATGGGTGTCGCTGCAAGATGTCACGTCGGCGGCCGCGGCACCGCTCTAAAGTGATTCTTCCAAAATAAAACTTCTTTTTGACTTGAGCCAGTTCATAGTCATAACACACTGAGTCGGCACGCGCATTATGTGACTCTTCTACGTAGGAAGGTTTGATCTAATCTCCAAGCTTGGCTGACGTAATGAAGATCAGTTTCAGGTACATTATATGAACATGATAATGATGATAGGTCAATGTTAAAATAGGTATAGGAGATTCAGAATACTGTTTTGCCGTACCTACTATATTGCATTTAATTATTTTATGTGTTTACAAAGAATAGGAAGGAAAAAATCATTGTTTTATATTAAGTACCTACCAGCGGGAATTTAGACAACTGTATCGTGAATACAAAATACATATTAGGTATAGGTTAGGTTAGGTAGGAGCTCTTACACAAAACTGCGATGCGATACGATTTCGCAACACAAAAAATTACGATGCAAATTGCTGCGATGCGATTTGGTTCGACAAGGCGTCTCCCTGGGTGACAATTCCTTCGACGATAGTTAACCGTACTAAACGTATTTTAAATTGAAAACTAGGTTATGACAGTTTTGTGTACGAGCCCTGAATGAATGTAAAGAGCTGAAAACTGAGCTCTGTGTAACCCACGTACAAAAGATGTAGGTATTCCCGCGAAATCTGAGTCAGAGACGAAACTCGACCAAGATGTGTCAAATAATGTTGTAACGAATTTTAATTGTTGCAAAATATTTGCTAGTTTTTTTGATTATCTGTGAATTTTCATCAGATTATAATGGCTTGGAAGGTTCGATAATAAATATTCTAAAGCACCCCTGCGTCTCATGATTATCGAGTGTCTGTGTGTGTAGATATTTATTTAATATTCGTTCATTTTATCTCTAGATAGAGCGTGTGTGTGTGCGCTACATAACGACAGGTCTAACAAATATTACAATATAAACTGATATTGGTTTCCACCCTATCTAGGCACTGGAAATTAAAATTAGCACCACTTGAGATTATTCTAGTCCAGAAATGATTAAAAATAATACAATATTGCGTAAGAATCTTAAACTCATAATCTTTTTATCAATGATGCAATACTATAGTAAACCTGCATCAATAGACACCATTGTAATATATTTTGGTACTTGTAAACTTATTTTCCCCCCGACCACACAGCTATCTTTCATAAAAAAAAGAATAAGCGGAAAATATTACGCAATAATGTTTCAAGTTGACGCAATATTTAGCTGCATTACTGTGTAACTTCGATGTCATCGACCGAAACTTGTCTATGTGTGTATCAGAATACTCGCCTCTCATTGGTCCAGCCCCGCGCGGGACAGCAACAACGCAATATTCCGCCATTTTATGTTTCGAGCGAATGTTGCTTCGCAGTTGCGCACTACGCTCCATCGGTGACGGATGTCCGTGTATACGATAGTGATTTTATAACACAAATTGTGCAGTATTGAAATAAAAATGGAAGGAAAACACGACATGTTTACAAAAGTGTGTGACAGGAGGGACATAGTGGATTTTGTGAAGGAAGTGGAGAAATATCCGTGTTTATACAACAAAACTTTGCCGGAATATGCAAATAAAGTGCATAATCGACGAGCGTGGTCGAACATCGCAAAGAAGGCGAATACATCAAGTAATTTCTTTCACTTTTATTAACTTTTTTTGACATAAGATAGAGTTTACTTTCCGTATTAAATGAAAATAGGTCACTCGCTTGTGTTTATCAACACTTTTGGCGCGTAAACTTTATTGTAGGTATTGAAAATGAACTATAAGTTGTAATGAATTTGTTAGGAATATAAATATTGATTTTTACCTGTGTAATGTTTTGCACATACTTAGTTACGAAATTAAATAGGCAATGAGTACTTTAAAAACAATGTTGACGCTGAAATTTATTAGTGTTCTACGTATGTAATTTAAGTTAATGTCAATTTGTAATTGTCTTTGCAATTTTTAATACAATTTTGCTAAAGTAATTCGTATGCATTGCGCTGGATGACTTGGGCATGTACTAGTTAGACCTAAGTAGAGTGTAATAATTAATAATTCACATTTTAAGTGACTATATAGATACCTACCAAAGTATTTGTCAGTAATTAATTTTTCGAAAGTGACATAAAATCTAATTTAAAAACCCATTTACCCCTCCCCTTCTGATTTCTTTTGAATTAATAATACATTTATGAAGGACGTAATCTAATAAATAACCTATGATGAAATTTAATAAAATATCTAAAAGATCTCATGGTTGACTGGTTGCTAGTACGACTGTTAAGCAGAGATAGCACAACAGTTCGATTTTCGGTTCGGGTGAATTGGTATTGAAAGTTTTTCGGTTTTTAGAAAATGCCACAGTAACAGTAATAAGCAAGAAGTCTGTCCATTAAGTAAAGGTTGTCTATTTCACCCACCCCCCTCCCCCACCGTAATTTGAGAATCCTAATTTTACTAGGGTAAATTGGGTGTTGTATTATTTGCACTATGTATCCGTAGGAACGTTAGTTATCTCATTTGCCAAGATTTCTATTTACAACAGAGTTTAACTGCCTTACAAGTGACTTTATCGGTATCACAATACTAATCACTAGTTAAAAGACCTCAAATCACTAGTCACTACAAGCCCCCAAATCACTAATCACTGTAAGCCCCCAAATCATTAGTCACTACCAGCCCCCAAAATATTAGTCACTACAAGCACCCAAATCGTCTACGTCATTTATAGTTACGTCACAACATGCAAAATACCTATGATTAAGGCTTACAACTAGTTTCTTAAAATAAATATGCATAGTGACGTAAGATATCTTCAAGAAATACTTAAGCATAACAAAACACACCTATTTTTCTTCGATAAGGCAGACAGAATATAAATATATTTAACGTTTTGCGTCATTAAATTAAATCGCTAAACGTATTTACTCGTTGCTTCATCATATTATCACCATCATCATCATCATGAACTGTGACACTGATGGGGGCATAGGCCTCCCTTAATGACTTTCACACAGGATTTCGACCTGCATCCAGTAGATCCGCGGCGATCTGCGACCTTTAGTAGGTACTGTACTGTACCTACTTAAGGACTTAGGAAATATGGAAGGACTTTAGCACACTAAAGTCCTTCAAGTATTGGTCGGCGATTTAGAAGATAAAACGACCTACCTATGTAAATATTAACAATAACATTTGTTTTTTCTAATAATTAATTAGGTTTTGTCCTATACCTGCGTCAAAAACAGAAAAACTATTCATAAATACTAGCTGTTACTGTTACTAAAGGCATACAATCGAGAACGGCGTTACAGATTTGGATGATAGCAAGGGTTCGCTTCTCATGCATGAGGGTGCGGGTTTGAAACCTCCCACCGGCAAGTACCAATGTGACTTTTTCCGAGTTATATGTACTTTCTAAGATTATTTAGATACCACTGACAAACGGTGAAGGAAAACATCGTGAGGAAACCTGGGCTTATAATTTCCAATTATAAGTTTGAAATCGCCAACCCGCATTGAGCAAGCGTGGTGATTAATGCTCAAACCTCCGTGTGAGAAGAGGCTTTGCTAAGCAATGGGCATTTATAGGCTGTTGATGGAAGGGTTACCGGGGCTTCAGGGTGAAGCAGGAGTAAGAAAGGGGTGGTTTTTAGGCGGTAACAGTCTGATACTTCCTCCCATTCCCATCTCTCCACGCCTCAGCCAGAGAAGGTCATTCGATGATTTTTCCCTCTCAAAAACATTAATAATTTCCAGAGTTAGAAAGTTACCATGATTATTGAGTTAGTTATTTTTCTAAGTAACATCATTAAAACAATTCTGTTGCAATAACTAATGACGTCATAGCTCAGTTTTTTAACAATAAACAATGACGATACAAGTTTTAACATGTTTGGTGAAATATTATGAAATATTTTGTGAGTTTAGTATCTACTGAGTGGTATTTTAAATAAACTATCTATATTATGTAGATATCTGAAATTTAAAGATAATAATTATCACGTTTGTTTTTATAAAGTGTAAGAAAATTGGTTAAAACTGGATAAATGTGGGTGTGGTAATATGTTAAAACCCATTTTTTTTTAAATGCAACTTTTGATGTATAGGTATTATAGGGTGCAGTTTTATTTTATTGGGTTTTTGGCATAAATAAGTGGCATACATTTTTTAATTTGCATATCAAGTACTTACCTAAATGGTTTTATTTTTAAAGATTATCTTGCTTATTCTTTTCTACACCATATCAATCTACATTTTAATATTAACAAATATCTCTATTTAGGTAGTACTCGTTTGTTTAATTTTTTAAGTTTTTTTTATCTAGTTAATTAAAAGTTATGGAACTTTACACTGAGCCTAATAATTATTAGTATAAAGTAGTCATTACTCAGAAAATTAGAAGTCAGAAATCCCTCTATTTAAGTCGATTGCTCAACACGAGAATCGGACTCAGGACTTTTCCAATCCACATTAGTGACGACATACTTCATAAAACGTCATCACATTTAAATGTTTCGCAATATTAAACATCATCATAAAATCACTTCAATTCTTCTAAAGGTATAAGTAGATGAATAATAGTGAACTTCGTGTACCCTGATTCATACAAAAATAAAAAATACCAATTACTTTAATCATGTATGCCTATACAGGGAATCAAACCCGACACTGACGTGTCGGGTTTATTTGACAGTTACGTAATCTAATGTTCTTTTTAATAAGATTTTTTTTACATTGTACAGTGGCATTAAGCGCTGTAATGTGCTCTTCTGCCTACCCCTTCGGGGATAAAAGGCGTGATGTTATGTTATGTATAACATTTAAGGACGTGTTTACAAACGAGTTACATTTTTCTGCAATAACTAGGTTGGACTTAGACACAAAAACACTATTAAATATTATTATTGCACAATATTTTTATTGAGCAATAATAAGTTTATTAGTTAAAAAATTATTGTTTTGTATTTAAATTTTTTGTTTAAACTGGATTGAAAAAAGTGAAACTCCACAGGAGAAAATCCTAGTGTGGGGCAGTCTTAAAAAAAAAAAAGATTTTCTCCTGTGTCGTGGATGCGTTTATAAACATACAAGTTCACATACACAATGACACCCAGACCCGAAACAACAATTTGTGAATCCCAAAAAGAGTTGATCCGTACGGGAATCGAACCCGCGACACGTTGCGCGGCAACCGGTTGTCCAGTGACAGCACCATAATACTGTCATAATAAAATTATCTTGCAAGCAACAGCAAAAAGATGTTGTGCAATATGAATATTACACAAAACAGTTCAAGAAAAACATTGCGCAATATTTTACCACGTTCGATTTTTTTTTTTCGATAAGTACACGATATATGTCTGATAGATAAGGTAGATAAATAAAAATAACATAACGTCTTTTATCCCCGAGGGGGTAAGCGGGGTAAGAGGCGCACATTACGGCACTTAATGCCACTGTACAATTCAAACACCCACTTTTCAATATGTATGTTATGAGTCCCATGTGATAGAAATTCCAAATTTCCAAATTCGAGATTCCGTACTACTACTGAGAATTTTTTTCAAATACCCAGTAATACTTTGCCCGACCCGGGAATTGATCCCGAGGCCCTTTAGCCAGCAGTCGCATTTGCAACCACTCGGCCAACAAGGCAGTAGATTAATAATTCTTAAGTGTAATTGTAGACATCTTCAATATTAACACTAAACGGCCAATAATACCTATTTAACAATTCATAATATTGTGTTGCGGAAAAATATTGCCAGTTGACAAATATTTTTCAAAGTATGGGATAAAGTAGATGAGATTTGAGCGTAGATCACACCGTTAGCGATCGAGAGAGCGAATTAGGATCGTTTAATTTTTATAGTTATGTGATTCAGTCATTTTGGCTAAGGCTGGCGATACAAACGCAACGTATAGCGGTAGAGATACAAGCTCATTCGCTTACAGTGTGACCATAGTCTTACATACAGTCAAACCAACGGTTTTGTGGGGCTTAGATTATAAAATGCTTACCTTTGTGATATAAAGATAAATATATAAAAAATAGAAATAAAAGTTTTCAATTTAATACCTTAACACAAGTAATAATAAAATCAAATTTCTCTTGTTACAGTACCAGATTGCCGCGACAAATGGAGGAAGATAAGGATTTCTTTCATGAGGTCTCTAAAGCAACAAGCTAGCGACAAACCTCCAATGAGACCTTACTATCTAACTGAAGAACTACATTTTCTGTATCCATTCTTAAGTATAAAGCCTAAGACCGACAAATCGCCTAAAGAAATCCTACCTGAAGATTTGAGCGAAGAAAAAATGGAGATTGAAAACACAATAACAGAAAAACAAGATTTTTCTGACAGTGACACTTCAAACTACGAAGAAGATTCAAAGGAACAGAATGCAGAAATCAGTAGAGTATCTTTCAATGACAACACAATGCCAAACATCACAAAAGTTAGAACAGAGAATCCTGTGGAGACGAAGAAGTTCAATGGAAACAAGAATTATAATTATATCGAGGGGAATCCCCGAAAAATGTTCCTGCTCTCAATGTTGCCAGACGTGGAGTCTTTGACTGAACCTGAAATGAGAATATTTAGGCGTGAAGTAATATCGATAATAGATAAAATAATACGTAGTCGTAGTATACGAAATTAATTAATTAAATATTTTTTTTATTTATTTTTATTTTTTAGCGACTGTGATTGGTCGTAACTGAAAAGTCTTGAACTCGATTTTCGAATCGGGAGATATTTTTTGGATTTTCTTTATAGAAATTCCTTGGATACAATTTGGTACTGAGTTTGAAATCACCTCTTATAACGGTGGAATTCAAAAATATTAAACCTGATTATAAGATCTCTGCTTAGCCCTTTGTACAACGGGCGTGATGATGTGACGTAGAATATTATTTAATTGTGAACTTCCATTTTGATTGTTTTCGTTTTCTTGTTTTTAAATTAAAAAATGAACCTACAACAAATAAAATTAAACATTTGGTAAAATAATGTAATTTATTTCCCCCTATTTTGCATTACTTCAGGTATAAATATATTATTCCCCAAGAAAACACATTAACGTTTACTCATGGACACAGTTGGAGGAGGTTGCTCGAATGGTTTCAAGCTGAAACGGGGATTCATAATCACGAGTAGAATGTTTTACAACAAACGCTATGCTGTTTTTTTTATTTGTCTCATTTCATTACAGACAAACTACTTAAACATTACACTTTTGTATATGTATGATCAAATATGATGTAATACTTACAGCAATGTCAAAAATCCCATATGTACCTATGTAGGTAAAATGAATGATAAACGGCACATATTTACGTTTTTCAACTAAGAATTTCAATACATTACATAACATCACGCCTTTTATCCCTGAAGGGATAGGCAGAGGTGCAAATTATGCTACTGTACCTACAATGTAACACCCACTTTTCACTATTTATGTTATGAGTCCCATGTAATAGGGGGTGAGCCTATTGCCATATACCGGGCATAATTCCAGACTCCGTGCTACTACTGAAATTTTTTAAAAACCTAGTACCTAATACTTTACCCGACCCGGGAATCGAACCCGAGACCCCTTACCCAGTAGTCGCACTTGCGACCACTCGGTCAACGAGGCATCAATAAAAAAAAAAGAGTTTCAATGCAATATCCGAAAAAATAATTAACTCTTCCTACAGTCGGTTAAAAACCCATGTATATAACTGGCTTAAATCGAATTCGTGACAAGATGCAACACTACTCACAGTATGCATTAGAACCAACAAGCATGTTGATACATATTGGATTTAATTTTTTTATTAAATGCTAAACTGAGAATTTCGAACTTCTTTAGCACGACCAAGGGATCGAACCCGCGATTTCGTGCTCAGGTAGATGCTTACTTTAACAATGAACGATCTGTAAAGGGTGAATCGGTAAATAAAGACTCGGTGTTTTTCTGTATCTTTTGTTAAAAGCGCCTACTCAAAAAATACTATTTGAGTACTCATAAGTACAGAATGTCGATACCCAATTAATAATTCAGTAGGCGCTTGTTACGCATCCATAGATGTAAGTAGATGTTAAGAAATGTAAAAGTTTAATTATTTTCGGATTATAGCTTGACATTTATGTTTTAGGAAACCTACTAATTTATGTCTTACTTTGATTTCAATAGTATTCTTATTGCGCAGCGGTGGTATAGCGTTATTTAACAAAAAAAAGTTAGAAAACAAGCAATAAGTTATGTAAGTATACTTAGTACCTATTCATTTAGATCTAAAACTTAATAATATGGCTACGGTAATTGAGACTGCAGGTAGACCACGCTAGTTTATTGAGCGACTGGCTGTCGGCTCACGACACACGCCAACGCGCTGAATCGCTTCTACCGTGCCATTGTTGCTAACCGGTAACGATCACGATATCAACTCGCCTTTACACAAACGCTATACTCTCCACAAACACACTATACATTACCGCACTAATGAAGCCACTAGCTGCTACATCAAGCCATCAAAACGCAATGGATATCGTAGTTTATAGTCTTGTTATAAAATGGCGATCGAAACAGCGGTTTTAAATCGGCGAGGCGTGTCGCCTCGAGAGGGGAGCGACGCGTCGAGCGAAGAGGACAGCGATATGTTGGAGCGGGCGACGGAGCGAAGCGGACGCCGCCGACCGGTGCACGGGAAGGGCGCGGGCGGCCGTCAGTTCCGCGCCGCGCCTCGCTCGTACTGCCCGTCCTCGCTGACGCTCCCGCCTGCGCGCCCGCTCCACAATGAAGTCTAAAGTAAAGGGGGCGCGAACCAAGAATATGGACAAGCTGATCGCAGCTGTCCAGGCTCGGGAATGCTTATGGGACAAGAGCTATAGGGGACACAGGAATCGCTTCAAGTTGGAGCGATATTGGAATGAAGTGGCGGCTGAGGTTGGGACGACGAGTGAGTATTGAGTTCGCTTTGAGTTTCACTCGAAGGTTAACGTCCGAGCGAGCGAGCGCTCCGCTGTTTGCGCAGTTATTGAATTATTGGTAGGAGGACGTTTGTTTTTGTTTCTTGACGCGCGTTTTGCAGATGGCCGGCTTACCTCTGATGAGACGCCGTATTTATACTGCAGTAATTACATTACGTTGGTATTGCTGTTAATTTTAGCTTGTCTCGTTCATATTCATAATACAGATTGTAATACTGGGGATAATTTCGATAAACAACTGTTGCTTTTATGTGAAAGTAGTACACATTTATGTAAGTTCGTGACCTACAAAGAAAGTATTTTGAGGAGCAAGGTCATTAGATAAGATCAAACAAGTAATCATACGTAACCAGACAATTGATAACTTTTTAAGATTATAATCCTTCAGTCTGTAGAAGTTAAACCGACTAAAAACTTAGTTTGACTAGAATCCTAAACTACTGGAGGCTTCTGAATAGTATTAGAAGTATATTCTGAATTGTATTCCCTTGAATACAATTACTTATTTACACTTATTTCTGCAAATATAAATAAAACACCACGATTGTTTTTCGCCGACAACCGGGTACAGAGTTTAATATTTTACACACAAATGAAGCAAGCATTTCCAAACTCCTGTATTTTCTGAGAATTTACCGACTGAGGGATCAAATAATCAAAAGCTTAGCAAAACCAGTCGTGGTTCCTCTTTGATAATACATATCGAAACATTCAACAATCAGTTTAGGTTTTGCGTAGCTAAATGTGCCCGTGTGTACTAGCAACTCGTCTCGAATTCACATATATATTTCTTTTGTCTTGTTGACAATAAAACACCTAAAAACAATAAATTCAAAGGTTATATAGTTTACTTTTGCCCTTTGTATTCTAGCTGTAAGATCTAGTTAGTTCCTTACACTGTAGTCTTGTAGTTGTAGAAGGTGTCGTAGTTCACAAGTTATAGTTTGTTATTGCGTATATTAAGTTTGGGAAAAGTTACAAATAAATTTGACGTGTCTCTTTCCTTGACGTTGTCCTGTAGATAAAGTGCTACTACTACGATTACTGTAATACGTTAAATTATATATGTTATCCATTGAGTGACGCGCATTCAATATTACTGCGTCGACTAAACGTGCTATGTGCGGTTATAAAACCGTACACTAAAATTAAACTGCAATTAAATTGTATTCCATTTTACCCTTCTATAATTTAACTCGTTGAGTATCGTCATTATAGACACAACCGTGACCGCTTGGTGTTTGACAGTTTAAACTGTCAAACAACGAGCGGTCACGGTTGTGTCTATAATGACGATAGTCAACGAGTTAAATTAGATAAAAAGCCTTATAAACCAAATTAAAAATTCCAGGTTTGAACTGTCGCAAGAAATGGAAGAATCTCAAGGACCAATGTCGCAAGGAGATGAAGAAAAATCCAAACGAATCTGAATGGCCTCACTTCCAGAAGTTGAAATTCATCCACCATCAGTTCGTGGCTGAAGATGAGGAAGGTGACGAGGATACGACTGATGAGGTCTTTAATTCTTTAGACGAGTCTATAAAGCGGCCGAAGTTAGGCTACACCATGAGGAAGAAGCTCCTGATGAATAAGAGGAGGGCGATAGATGTTGATATGAATAAGTTGATAGATTTGGTCCGAGTTAGGGAGATAATTTGGAACAGGTCGCTGAAGGGACACCATAATTGGTATAAACTTGATGAGAGCTGGAAGGAGGTGGCGATGGAGTTGGATTGTACACGTAAGTATAGTTTTTGTGTGCTTGAAGTGATAGTTATGAAGATTGCGATAAGAATTTACGTAAATGAAGGGTTTAATATTTTTTGTTAAGTTGATATACAGATTTTATTGTTTTATCTAGTCTGTTAACGATTATAGAATAGGGGACCCATTGTTTCATTCCCAAGTAAGGATTATTTGTACTTGTCGCTCTTCAAGGGCTTTTAGAACAGTGGGAAATACATTTAATTTTTCCTTAAATAACATTACTCTATTGAGAAGGAGTACTTTAGCTTTATAACCAAAATATTACATTTTAAGAAATGTATCAAATCAAAATTCAAGGCTAAGTTCCTACTTACTTGATTAAATTGGAAAGTTAACTTCGTTATGAATTAATTTTCTTTCAAAATAGGGACCTGTAGGGAACAGAGAGTATAGTTCCCTAAGATCGGAAAAGGAGGATCCTCCGACCAGGCGTGGTGATCGTGCCTGGCGGGCTTTCTGCCCGACAGTTGTTCGTTGGGATTTTCTATCCGTGTTAAATCGAATGTAAACTTCGCATGTGCGATGTAGGATTTTTATGACGTCATCCATTGGAATGTACTTACCATGTGTCGCCACAGACCCATATTGTATTGTGAAATTATTACAATAACCTCATTGAATTTGAAAGGGTTAAATGGTTGCTGGTCCTTTAGCTAATTTATTTGATAAGTTCGTTCATACTTTAACTTACATCGTTATACTAAAAATTTATTTGTTGATGACTGTACTTTGCTAAACAATATTTTGAAATAATGCAAATTTGCTATAAAATAAGTTAGGCAAGAGACGGATTTAAACCTGGAGAGAGCGCTCTGGGTAAGCACCTCATATGCATCATTAGGGGTGCTATGGGCAGTTGGGCACACGCTTGCTGTATCCCTCTGTAACCTGTCGCTTTAGGCACTTTTTTAGTTTATTTA